AATCAATCAATCAATCAATCAATCAATCAATGAATCAATCAAACTTATCTTTCTTGGCCGCTGTTTGTCACTATCCTGCTTCCCTCTTCTTCTCCCCCTCCCCCCCCAGTCCTTCTCGTCCTCTTGCCCCGATCCCAACCTGCTTATCTTCCCGTCTACCACGCTCTCTATGTACCTGCCTGCCACGTGGTACGGCGAAACGCTTCACCCCTTCTTCCTCCTCCTTCGGTAGGGACGTGCCCACCATTTAGTGGCCGACACAACTCCTCTCGTCTCTCTCTCTTTCTCTCTCTTTCTCTCTCTTTCTCTCTCTTTCCCTCTCTTTCTCTCTTTTTCTCTCTCTCTCTCTTTCTCTCTCTTTCTCTGTGTCTTTTTCTGTGCCTTTCTCTGTCTCTCTCTTCCCCCCCCCCCCGGCCCATTTCCCCTTAAATTATTGAAAAACAGAGTTGAAAAAGGAGGAAATTGCCATCTCCCTCGCATTCTCTCTATGCACTGAAAAAACAACGCGAAAAGGGAGATGCCGATTACCACCCCAATTTACGAAAGCTCTCTCTCTCTCTCTCTCTCTCTCTCTCTCTCTCTCTCTCTCTCTCTCTCTCTCTCTCTCTTGCTATTCCCCCCTTTCTCCACCCCTCTCTCTCTCGCCCTAGGGGGTGCGCCCAGTCATTAACAATTGTCAAATGTCCTCCCTCTCTCTCTCTCTCTCTCTCTCTCTCTCTCTCTCTCTCTCTCTCTCTCTCTCTCTCTCTCTCTCTCTCCCCCCCCCCCCTCTCTCTCCCCCCCCCCCCCTCCCTGCTTGTCCTCTCTCTGCCTCCCTTGCATTGCAAGAGAAAAGGAAGGAAAGGAGCACAAACACCTTGTTCCCCCCCTACGTGCACCTAGTAGTAGTACAATTTTTTTTTTTGGGGGGGCGGGTGGGGGGGCCAATAAGGGAAGAAGCATACAAGGAAGGTTTTCTTTTAATTTGGTAGTAGTAGTTGTAGTAGTACTCTTCTGAGAAGTTAAAGAAAAAGAGGGACAAGATTCCTGCTAATAGTCTGTGTATCTTTCCCACTAGAACGGACAAATCGAGAAACGGTCCGAATGAAGAAAAAAAAGGAGTGTGGAACAACAAGGTTACCTGCCGGATCAACTACCGTCTTCACCCGAATAGAACGCCGGTAATTATGGTCATATCTGGACTGAAAACTGCGTCAAATACGGTTATATAATGACCGGGCGTTCTATTCGGCTGAAGACGGTAGTTCCTTCCCTGAACAGAACGCAGAGTTATTATGACTGTAGGGGACGGGGAAGATAGCTTGTATTGGGTTATTACCAGCGGGCCCTCCAGGGTTGCCTCAGATTGGCCCGGGTGGCCCGGCCGGGCCAGGTCCGGGCAAAGTCCTGGTCAAGGTCACGGGCATGTCATGCATAATTGCAAATCAAACAACTTTCGCACTCGCTGGAAGAGGAGCCTCAGAGACTTGCTGAGGGTCACCCCCGAAATTTGTTATAAAATCTGACCCAAAAAAAAAAAAAAAAGACTGAATTATATCATACCCCTATGAGTCCCTTTAAACCACCAGTACATGCCAGCCATCGGCCGCGGGCCCCTCTGCGAGGCCTATCGCGGGCGATTTATTTTATCGACGGAGGCTCCAATCTCAACTTCGCTGGGGCCCATGTAGTGGTGCGCTAAGCCCCTTCGAGCCCTTTCAAACCCTGAGACCACCAAATTCCAAGACAAGGCCTGATTTGCGGACTTTTTTTTTTTTTTTTTTTTTTGGGAAATTTGCGGACTTTTTTTTTTTTTTT